GTTATCGCGTAACATACATACAAAAAAAAGGGCAGTCGAATTGAGAACTTCCTCCTTTTTTGAAGTCGGTTAAAAATGCAATGTGCATCCCTATCTCAAATCCTCAAGCGACCGCGGCGCGCGACGTTGGAGCTGGACTTTCGCGGCGTGCACGCAGTGCTATTGCATCGCTTTCAAGTCCCTCGTGCGATAAGCCATTCAGAACTTCAAATTTCAAAGATTTTAAGGGGCACTACGACTGCGCTCGGCATATGAAGTTCACAAGTCCCATGTGCCTGTAATTAATTCACCAGCACCCTTCAAAACCGGAATGCAGTAACGACCATGTAAGGTGGCAATACTTCTACGGAGGAACCCTTTCATAAGGAATTCTACCGCTGCTATAACCTTTTTTGAAATACTTGTTGTTGTGTTGGCATTGACGTAAAGTACTAAATAAGTACGCAGGTAAACATACCAACTAAATCCAAGGCGTCCTCCAAATCCATATCATGTTTTTTCTCAAGTGATTCGTGCGCTGTATCTGACGGTTCCTTCATCGTCATTGTCGGTTCGCTATTAAACAAAAAAACAAACGTAATTCCAAATAAACAATAAACAAATGAAAACATTTTCAGGTAGTCATTGAAACATAGAAATCGAGTTAATTTGTTTTCGCGATTGCTGTACGTTGGAAATCTAATTACAACAAAGAAAGAATTATTTGATTTTAAAATCGGGACTTTAAACATAATATTTTATTTACCTCGACCTTTCGGACGTTCCGGGCGTTGCAATTCCTTCGACCACGGTCGTTGCAACACGTCCAAAATGTCGAGCTAAAATATGTTATAAACATGATTAAGTCCCGATTTTAAAATTAAATAATGTGTGACAATCGTGAAAGTTTGCATGGATATCATAAAATTGTTACAAATAAATATTAATATCAGTAATATTTTTTAAAAAAGGAGTTTATCTAACCCATTTCACTTTGTAGTCCGACAGTGAAAACAATAGATTGTTCTTAGATTGAATGAACAATACCTCGCACCCCTCATGGAAGAATGACATAAGTCGAATTACGTCAATTGTTTTTTTCTCTCCATTATATACATAACGAAGTAACACACTTCATTTATTATTTATTACTCCATTGCAAACACAACAAAGTAATAAACGTTGGCTCCAATTCATGTAACTGTATCAACAATTATTAACTAATATAAATATCTGTGGTGTAACACATGTGGTGTGTCACGCGGAGGTCCGGGGTTCGATTCGCGGGCCGGGAGAATATAGTCCCTATAGGTGCTGCTTTATTCTTTTCTTATGTGTTTATACTGTCCGCGCTGGATTACGAGGTTCCGGATTCGATTACCGGTACGACCATATTGGAAAATGCACTTTTCTATCTTTTCTATCTATACATATCTGGCTGTTCTGGGAAGTGCCTCAAAGCGAGTTACATTGCTCTGGTACTCAAAATACATTCGAGACCAGGCAATTGGTGTGGCTGTCTGGCAAGTAATATATTATATCATTGCAATCCCAGCAACACTCTGAACCCATTATTGTATTGAGAGTGTACAACACGTTGCTAGGGACTGTAAAAAAGACGTTTGCCAGTAAGAGCTGCATGACGTAATCTTAGGGTTGAAAGTTGAAACACAAAACCGCGAATTACTGCGATGCGATTTCGTGCGGCAAGACATCTATCTCACAGCCACGGTTCGGGTACACATTCTTTCGATGATCGTCAACTGTACTGAACGTATTTTTTAAACATGGATCGTAATAATAATCTCAGGACAAAGTACTTAAAAATCGACCTCAAAAGTTCGTGGAATTACATATATTTGACAAGTTATATTGAAATCGATTACCGGAAAGTGCGCAAACCCGGATTCATCCCATAGTTCGCCACTATACGGGACTTGACAAAGGAGATAATAAAAATCGGTGCTCACTGCTTAAAGTATATTGAGAGAGAAAAACGCCTTGAATTGGAGAATAGCAAAATGAATCATTAAAATAATTGCTCTTTTTAATAAAATTTAGGCGCTATTTAGAAAAATGAGTCTTCATGCGTGAACAGCCACCGTTAGAGGTGGATGATTTTCCTCAAACTTAAATGGGACCACTATGGAGGTACCCTCTTTCCAATAAAAAAAATAATCATCAAAATCGGTTCACAAAGAGTTACCGCGTAACATACATACAAAAAAACATGCAATCGATTTGAGAACTTCCTCCTTTTTTGAAGTCGGTTGAAAATAGTATTGCACTGCTGTTATTGATAAGAAAGTATAGGAAAAAAACACAAAGAAGATTAACATCACAGGAATGCGCGATGCAGAGCAATTCGCAAATTCTGCGATGCGACGTCGCATTCCAGTTTTGTGTTTCGACCCTTAGTCTCGTTGCTGCAACGAGCGAACCTATGGGCCCATGGGCCTATACTTTATAGTGTAGGGTATAAGCTCTATACTATAGGTTCCCAAACTTTTTGGCACACTTAGGCAAGATAAAAAAATATTAACACCCACCACCACAAAAATAATTGAAAACGCGTATTTTTTATATTAACTTATCACAAAAATTACAAGGAAACAAGTTATACGTATATTTGTAGTGTAATTTATAATAGATAATTAAGGTTTTTTTAATGCGGTAGCACCCCTTGGACACCATCAACGCCGCCTAATTGCTTCCGAGTCCTACCCCTCTAGGACTCTTCAGCGCCCACTGAGGGGCGCTAGCGACTGCTTTGGGAAACTATGCTCTGTACTATATTGCATCTCATAAAGTGCGCCCGGCGCCGTTGCTGTATTTTCTTTTTTATTTTTTATTCAAAGAATTGTAACCTTCCCATGTAGAGGATTAGTGGTTTTGGTTTTAATAAAGGTGTTGCATAGCTCTACCGCGGCTATGTAACCAAAAAATCATAAACTACTCGTATATAACATCAATATTTTTTTCACTTTATGCCAGAAAAATCATTTACGTAACGTTACTATTATAATTTTCCCATTGAATAAAAGTACAACCTGTAACTCATTTTAATAACGCACTAGGGAAACCCTGAGTCGCGGGTGCCATGGACACACACATATACAACCACAAAGTACACCCAAACTCAAATATATTCAATTTGATTTCAAATATATTAGGAAATAAAACCATCAACAAGATAAATCTCGTACATCGCATTATTTATTACAGCAGGTAAAGATATACGTGAAAGTGCTACGTAAATTAAACATTTAAGTTAAGCTCGTGGAATGGAAGTATTTCTTCAAGTATGATCAAAAACGACTCTCTACAGTGTCAATAAAAAACAAATCCTCTTTAACCGCCGCAGTGGCCGAACGGTTACCATGCCGGACTGCCACGCGGAGGTCCCAGGTTCAATTCCCGGGCCGGGAGAAATATTTGTATGGCCTACATATATTTTTCTAGTGAGTTTGGGTGTCATTTGTGGTTGTCTATGTGTGTGTCCATGGCACACGCGACTCAGGGTTTCCCTAGTGCGTTATTAAATTAATGCAATAAAACGAAAATAGAAAAGTATAATTATAATGTAAAAGTGTAATAATATATCGTCGGTGGTTTGTAGAAAGGGCGAAAGCGTCACTTCGAAAAATTTGCGAAGAGAGCAGTTTTAGATTTTAGCCACGGTTTTAAAATATTTATTTAAAAACTATTTTTTTTAATTTAAATTCAACAGGACATAAATATTTTAAAACAGTCGATAAAACTGAACACTTTTTCTCCTGAAAATTTTTCGAAATGTCTGTTTCGCACTTTCAACAAATTTCCGATGATATTATCTAGGGTCGGCGGAATAGAGCACGTAAGTCAAAATAGTGCTTCATTTTAAAATATATAGTATATATTTTTTGTGTTGTTTATAATGTTAGAAGATGTATCGCTCTCGATACATTTGAAAAAGACGCCACTACAATTCAAGTTACAAAAATGAATGAAGTCCCAAATTAATTTGACATATTTATGCTTTAGTCGGTAGATGTATGATGTTGGTTTTAAACTTAATGTGCTTTAGCCCGACGACTCTAGATATAATAATAAAATGGAAATGTAACAACAACAAATTAGACACATAGACGAAATTTCTGTTACGCTTCAAAGAAAATTACGTAAAACTACGACTATTTTTATTTACAACAATTTTTGGTTATACCGTAAAGTAATCGAACCTTTTTGATTAGTTTTCAGCGTGACCAAAAATAGTTGGGCCTTTTTTGCAAGAGAGTTTAAAATTTTTTCTTCATTTAGATGAAAACAGTAATTAATTTCTTCTCGCTCGGTCTATCTATGTTGTCTTAATATACTGCTATACTTACTTTATAGTTTGTATTAAAATTTTGCCAAAATCTTAAAGTAACTTCAAAAAAATATAGTGAAAGTTAAAGAAAACAAATTATTTAAAGTGTTACGGACGTCGTTTGTTACACTTTTGTCACCAACTCATTTACAAAATCAAAGAAGTTTTATTTACAATCTTAATAATAATTTTTCAAATAACACAACAATCAGGTTCCAAGACCAGACACCTATTACGATTTTACGAGAACTAGTAACTCTTATATTGTTGCAGAGTTTAATTATACTTCTTTGTGACCAGTGAGCGTTATTGTAAAAATTAAATGCAGCTTATACATTGCGTTTCATTTTAAAACGACTTTAATAAAACGTCCTAGTTGACAAGCAATTATGGATTCTAAGAGTATACAAATTGTTGGCGCTCCATATTGCTGTAAATCAGTTTTATTTATTTTATTATTCTTTCTTTTAATCGCTCGATAAAATCTTTCGTCGTTTCGGATCGCGGTTTAAAACTTTTCGAATGCATCATTTGGACCATTGTAATTCTTTTAAAACATCAAGTGACGGGACGAACAAGTCGTGCGCCTGATGGTAAGCTACACGCCTGTCCATAACAGTTGCAGTGCCACTCAGAGCTTTAAATCACACAGCCACTGCGCCCGTTACCCTGAGACATAAGTTGACAAGTCACATGTGCCTGTAATTTTACCAACAACCTTACCCTTCAAAACCGGAACACAGTAATGCTGAAATAGATAAGGTGGCAGTACGTCCCCTTTCACAAGAAGCTCTACTGCTACTGTATATGCAAGAAACGAATGTATTTTTCAATTTTATGTCTACTGTCATATCCGGATTAAATTAGCGTTCAAAGAAATAAAAAAAAACTTTGAAATCAGTGGTTCCGTTTGATGGATGCACGACGCGACCGACCTATGTTCAGCTGTGGACGTCTTCCGACTGATATGATAGTGATAAAGATGATGCATTTGAGAACTACAAATCCACGAACAGACACATAGACAAGAGCAAATACATTCCTTTTTGCTAATGGGTTTAAGAAAAATTAAGCACATTTTAAGAAAAATCGACGTGGGCCATGGAGCGCGCCATGCTCGTCATCAGCCTTGCAGACCGAGTTCTGAACGTTGAGATCCGACGATGAACAAAAGTCCAGGATGCCGGAACTCGGATCATGGAACTCAAATGGGGCTGGGCGG